GGCTTCCTTGCACTTAGCACTCCACACATGGGTGTGATCACAGGTTGAATGTGCACTTCGAGAGCTCACTCACCCTTGTATCTGCAGGGCCCAGAACACAAGCAATGACATGTTTGAATTCACTAATTCAATCATTTATTAAGCACCTACTTTGTGCTGAGCACTATGCTCAACCTAACTGTCATGGTCTCTTTCCTTAAGAATCTTCTAAACCAGCATCTCAAAGTTAACCTTGGGTGTTGTGCTGATGGTGTGTATTCAGTTCTTATGGTAAACAGGAGAAAAAATACCATCTTATATCTCCCCAAGTGATGTTATTTTTATAAAACATTGTAAAGCCCTTTGGTTATGACCTCTCATAGTTGTAGTCAGGCTGTGCTCATTTCTTTTTATTTATTTATTTATTTATTTTTGAGACAGAGTCTCACTTTGTTGCCCAGGCTAGAGCGAGTGCCGTAGCGTCAGCCTAGCTCACAGCAACCTCAAACTCCTGGGCTCAAGCAATCCTTCTGCCTCACCCTCCCGAGTAGCTGGGACTACAGGCATGCGCCACCATGCCCGGCTACTTTTTTTCTATATGTATTAGTTGGCCAATTAATTTCTTTCTATTTATAGTAGAGACGGGGTCTCGCTCTTGCTCAGGCTGGTTTTGAACTCCTGACCTGGAGCAATCTGCCTGCCCCAGCCTCCCAGAGTGCTAGGATTACAGGCGTGAGCCACTGCGCCCGGCCGAGCCTGTGCTCATTTCTAATCTAGGGAACCACGAGAGGCAACATGGTTCCAAACTCTGAGCTGCATGTCTTCTCTGGGCACACAGGTGCATTCACTAGCTCCTGACCCCACTTTGAGACAGGGGTAGGTGACAAGTGGCATCTGTACTACTCCAAGAGTTGTAAGTAGCAGTCAGCCATCCCTCTGTGGACTCTCACTTTGTGCATTTGTTTTCCTCTTTTCATTTTGCTCTCTCCCATTTCCTAGCTTTAGCTTCCTCTCCCCGTACATCCATACCCTGGGGCATTGCTTAGCATCTGCCCCTGGCTCTTGGAGGTCTGCTTCTCTAGTGAATCCCTTACATGATACCCTAACCCCCTTGCTGTGAAAACTGTTTCTTTGCTTATTTGTAGCTATGAGGCCCAGTTGAATATCTGGCCCTAATGCACAAAAGGAAACTTACTTGTCATAAGATGTTTGCTCTGTGGCTGGATCAAATTCAGGCTCTAGGAGGTGGGTGGGGGGAGGAAAGGAACAGACTCATGGCTTCTGTGCACCTCGGGCTGTGGAGCACCCCATCCGCAGCAGGCCTTCTGGGGTGAATGGGCCGAACCAGCAGCTCAGACCCAGGCCATAGGCAAGGAAGGGCCCAGGAAAGGAACATTGTTGCTTTGTCTGTTTTAAGCACTCAGCTTTGTGTGGTCAGACAAGACGCCTGGCAATGCAGCCTGGCCCCTGCCTCGGCTTCCATCCACACCTTTGCAAAGCCACGGAGCAGGAGCAGAAAGGCAGAGCTTGCTTTTCCCCCGATGCACACAGAAAAGCCTCCCCTAACACTGCCCGGGGAGCAGTGAATCTCGCCTGGCCCTGATGTATTGGAGCCAGGACGAAAAGGCAGGCCCTAAATGCCAAGGCGAGGAGGAGGGTAGCCTGGCTGTTCTCTGGGCTGGAGCACGTGACTGCGGTTCCCCGGCCTGGGGGGACCAAGAGCCAATTCACGGGGGAGGTGTCGGAAATGCAAAGCCGGCTGTCTACTCACCACGTTAGTTAAAAATGTCAAGAACAAGGCAGGGAATAACGCAAGGGGAAGAGTGCCTTCTGTTTCGTGGGAGGCGGGTTACAGAACGTTGGGAGCACACGTTTGCTTTCATGTGCCTGCTTGGTTGCAAGTCCAACCCACCATCTGCTGCAGCGCAGGAGAGCCTAGAGGAAGGCGGCACCCAGCAGCCGGATGCCACTCACGCAGCTCTGACGCCACCGTCCCGTGCTCCAGAGGGCCCTCGTGCCGCGGCACTGGCAAGGTCAGAGAGCGAGTCTACCCAGGCCTGCCCAGGGGAACTGAGCTCTCTCAGGCACCGCTTGTCTGGTGAAAGGCGACGAGGAGCAGCTGAGGCTGCCCAGCAGCCTGTGTGGCCAACAACAAGAAGATGCCAAGCTTGCTACACAACTTGACATTGTGTTAAAAAGACGCAGAGCTCCGTTCTCTGTTTCTTAGCTCCACCGCCCTGATGCAGGGGCCGTCCTGAATTCACAGCAGATGAGCTTCTTCCAACCTGAAGAACTCTACAGTTATCTCTATCAAAGCCACATCTTGATGGCCAATGGCTGAAAAGGGGCAACTCCCAACCTGCAAATGCACACCTGCCACTCTTAGCAGGAACCTGGCTGTGCTAAAAGCCACCACCTAGGAGACACTCCCGGGAGGCAGGGACTGGGCCACTGCCTGAGTTTTGATTCCTGAAACAAGAATCTGGATGCACATCTTTATAAGGGATATGATCCCAGGAAGCACAGTGGGGGAGGAGGGCAGCAAGACAGGAGAAAGGGGCTAGCCAATATGGGGAGGGGGTGTTGGTCAGCAGGATGCCCCTGTGAGCAATTGGGGTTCACTCCCACTAGAGTTCCTTTCAAAGGCTCAGAGGGACACATCTCGATTTTTCTGTCGGAAAGAACCTGAGAGATTTTTCCACCAGCACCATCCTTCATTGGTTAAGGTTGCTCCAGGCACCTTTGCCTCTAGTGCTGATTTGGGCTGCCCCACGCAGGAGCTCAGCAAATTCCTGTGGAGGCATCTATACAGAGCCATCAGGCAAAGATGCAGAAGCTTGAGGTAAGAAGCCATCCTGTGTCCATGAAGCTGCAGATGACCTTCAAAGGTATCTGTGACAGCCATGGTGACAATAATGTTTCCTCCTCATTTGTGTACCCAGGCATGTGTGTATGTGTGCACAAGTGCACACATGCACACACACACACACACACACACATGCATATCACTCTATCTCCCTCTCATTTGTACCCCTCTTACTATGGCCTCATAAATGGTGAGTCCTCAAATTGTCTCAGCCCTCATGAGCCACACAAGCAAATGCCACATACAAGATGGCAGCATTTCGCAGCCTCCCAGGTACTCCAACATGAATCCATGCCAGCTTATGACTTCAGAGTAACACGGGGTAATGGGAAAAAGTGGAACAGATCTCAGGAGTTTGAGGTTTCTTATCTCCTATTCACCAGTAATTTACTTATTTGACTATAAGGAAGTTATCCACATTTTCTGGAACTTAGTTTCCCCATTGGTAAAACTAGAGCAATAATACCTGCCCTATTTACCTCCAAGGGTTGTAGAAAGACTCAAAGGAGCCAATTACTGTACCTGAAAGCACCTTCACAGGTAGAGATGCTCCTTGCTCAGCCCTAGCCTCAGTACATTGCTTTTAGGCCGTGAAGCAGGGGCCCTGCTTGCTGACCCTCCAAAGCCTGCCTTTCTCTCACCCACAAGGCATTATTCTGCCCTGGGAGCACAGAGTGTCCTCTGGTCTAGAGGAAACTAGACCTTTGCTTGCAATATGTCCAGGTAGACCAAGTCAAGGAGCAGACCCCTCGTGGAGAGACACAAGAAGTCCCGTTGGGATGGGCAGAACAGGCTCGCTGTCTCAGTGGTGCCCGGCCCCTTCTGTCTCTTCATTTGCCCTGTGTCAAATAGCAAATTCCAGAATCACTATACAAAGTGGTGGATGGGACAACACAACTTCCCCCAGATATTAATCAGAACCAGTGAGGGTGTCAGCTGTTGTGCCCACTACCTGACATTAAGGCCTGCGTGATGTCAGCAGAGAAGCAAGTGTCAGCTAGACTAGACCCCTCCAGCTAAACCAGGGAGCGTTTGTCAGTCACTCTGTTGTAAACCACCAGATCAAGGGGACTCGGACACCAGAATCTAATCAGCCAAATTAGTTTATTGATACCTGCGCAGGGGCTGTCACCACTCCATGCAAGGAGGGAGAAGCAGCAGCAAACAAAGCCTTTGCAGTTTTTTTTATACCTTAGGAGCTGGCAGTTATGCAAGCGCGCAATCACAGAAGCAGAACTTTGCGGTTAGTCGTTAATCAAGCGAACAATGGAAAGGTACATTGAGGGACAAGGGACTTTTCCTGGAACAGGACCTCTCTATTCTTTTTGCGAACAGGCCTCCTCAACTCCCACTTCCCTCTCCTGGGAACTTCCTCTAGGAATAGTTAAAGCAAGACTGACTCCATTTTAGATTTCCAGGAGCCATCTTTAGTCTATCTAGTTCAACTCCAGTCGGCCATCCTGAAGGGTGAGTGTGGTACCCAAGGGTTGTTAAAACTGACAATCCTGGAAGAGGACTCGAAGTTTATCACACAATCACATATTGCAGTTGATGCTCCCTTCTGTAACCATGGGAACAATAGCCATTGTAGCATTCACTGTGGGCCCAGCCAACGTCCTTGGGGAGCGACAGGGGGGAGAGGGTGCCCAGCCCTTCTACACAGGCTCAGAAAGAAAGGCTCTTACCAACCACCGTGCAGTTAAAAACAATGGAAGCAAACTCACCGGGACAGAAACAGACTTGAGGGAGGCTCTGAACAGTTCCCAGAATAAATTCCCACGTAAACCCGAAGAATGCTAATGGGGAAAAGCCACCGCTACCTCCCTCTTTTCAGCCAAATAATATCCTCCTGCCGGAACAGAGTTGTTCTTGGCACTTAGGAGCAAATGTGAGGAGGGAATCAAAACACGTCGCCTGAGAAAGGAATCCGTAAGGAATGTGCAGGCAGGGACGCGGTGAGAAATAACAGAGAAAGACAGGTCGGCGGCAGGAGCAAAGATTAACTGTACCGGAGAGAAGATGGTGACTTGGTTCTGGAAACAGGGACGGGTGAAAGCGGGAAGTGCTGCAGAGACACAGGAGGAGTCCCTCGCCTGTGCCCCAGGGCTCAAAGGACGGCCCCTGCACCTGGCAGCCCCAACAGGCTTCTAGAAGTGGAGGCTTAGCCCCACTGCCTCCTTGCACCAATGATCGTGGAGGGACGCTCCACGTGGGGTCAGTGCGACTTTATCCAGGGATGCAGAAACTCTGCCCTGTGAACGGACTACACAGAAAGCATCGAAACCTGGTAGAGAGAGTGTCTCTTCCCTGCACCCTCCCTTACCACCAGAGCTGCCTCCAGGGGACTTTGGCAAGTTTGACAAATGGCAGAAGAATTGAGAAGAATTTCTTCTCTGGCAGAGGGAAGCCGATGATTGGGCACAAGCGTGCTCCCTCGGCTCTTTGTCTAGTGAAACTCTAGCCACGTCAGATTCCTTTCCACTCTGTTCACGTTTAGTCCCTTGGCTCCCACGTGCCAGCTCCTCGAGTCTGTAGCGTTTGGGTAAAGGATCCTCAGTCCTCTGCTGCGACAAGAGGAAACTCATCACACACGCCATACGTTGCAGCTAAGGGCATCGCTCTGTCGACGTGAGTCACCCGGCAGAGACGGCTGCCCGACTTGGAAACCCCTGAGTCACAGAGGACTCACGTACACCCCGGCCCACTGTTTACGCAAGCGCGTGCTCCACGGGGCCCCGAGCTGTTTACGAGCCGCTGGCTCATTCCTCATCATGCCGCTTGGAGGGAAAGCAAAAAGGTGGGGAAAGAGGAAGGGCAGACATCATCATCTGTGGTTTACATGGAGGAATTGAGGCACAAGCAAGCCCTGCAGTGAACTGCATAGACATGTATGAGGCAGACACAGCCAATGCAGCGGGCTCTTCTGGATCCTAAATGGACTGTTTTCTTGCCCAGCCGTTTCGTGCAGTTTCTCCAGCACAATGGTATAGACACAGCAGCCTCACGACAGGCCCGTGGAATGCAGACTGGCTGCATTCTGTTTGTCGCCGGTTTGCCACCTTTCATCCCATCTCTGACACTTGCCCCATCTTTGAATTTGATGGATCATTTTTTGTACTTTAGAGCCTGCTCCTGACACTCCTGGCGTCCCGCCCTGCGCCCAGATCTGACGGTTCCCTCGTTCCTGACATTTATTCCATTCTTGACCACTCCCTGATGCCCCATATTTCTCCCATTTTGAATCTCTACCAACTCTGTCCCTCACCTGTCCCTAATCCATACACCCTCCATGCCCAGATGGAGGATGGGTGCTGAAAGAAAGCTCACAGATAGAGTGCAAAATGCCCATTTTACTCATCATTTTTCTTTTTTGAAAAGCTGAGCGTTTATCAGCAGAATTTTGGGACCATATCAAAATATCCTCATGTGAAAATAGCTGCGGTAAAGTGGCTCTGTTAAAATAGCTGCCTGCAAAGAGCTGAGAGTCGAGATGTCACCTGCTCTGCCACCTGACTCTGGCCCTCTGCGTGGCCTCGCCTTCTGTTCCGCCGTGTTCTGGTGTGTGGCTCATCAGAAGAGGCGTGAACACCAGGGCCGCTTTTTATCCTGCTGTTCCAAGCGAGGACTCTGTAGGTGTCACAGATGAAACCCGTCCAGGAGCCGAACAGGATGCTAATGGCAGGGCCACGTGTCTCTCCACCGCCCCGTGAGGCAGCCCGGCTGGCATCGGTCCCTCTGCCCAGCCTCCTTCCTGCCCCCATCCACCCACGAGCTCTTGTTGGGTCAGAAATGCAATCCTTTGATGGTGCCAGACAGCCAGATGATGCTGGAAAGAAGAAAGAAAAAGCAAAAGCAGGTTTCTAAATTAAGCACAAAGCTCGTTTATAAAAATAAATAGCCACAGCCTAGCAACGTGCTCACAGCTCAGCTTCCCTCCATGACGATGAAACCTCTGTGGCTGGGAGGGGATGACACACGCTTCCGAGGGCCCCACGCCCCGCCCTTCCCCCGCGTAGTACTCATCTGCAGGGCACGGGCTGTGGCCCTTAGAGGTCCCCGCTCCCCACTCGGGGCCAAGTAAGGGCCAGGCTCCAAAGAGCAGAAGGGAGCCGGAGCCTCCCAACCTTAATGTGGCCCATGAACACCTACAGACTCTTGGCAGTAACTAGCGCACCTGAAGCAAAGGTGGATAAAGTTCCTTGGGCTGCTCTACTGAAATGAGAGCTCCTCCTTGAAACCATGTCCTGTATGTTCACCACTGAATGTCTGCTAATCAGCTGAGTACACGCACACACAGACACACTCACACAGACACACACACACGTGCGTGTGACACTTCATAACCATACGAGTGAAGACTGGAGTGAGGCATGAATGAATGAATGAATGAATAAATGAATGAATGCTGCCATCCCATCATCGATGTTCCCCAGACTCTCTAGCCCAAATGGAGTGAGCCCCACGTTCCAAAGATAGGCATTCCTGACTATGACATGCACCCAAGAGGCAGTGTCCCCTAAAGTGGGTGTTTAAATCGGAGCGCACAGCTGGAGTGCACACCTGGAAGTGTGTAGAGAGTGTGCGCTTGTACTGCCTGGGTGCAGGTGCTGTGGCTGCATGGTGGGGAGGGGCAGAGGGCATGGGATATGCAGTTGGTAACAATTGTTAGCATTCCCGAATATTCTCTTGTTCTTTAGGCAGCGGCCGCTCCAAGGGGGAGGTGTTGCTAAACAAATGAACCACAGGAAAAAATAGCACATTAGCTTTCTGAGTTTAGCTTCTTGGGACACAAAAAGTGGGGCCCATCATGTCCTTGGAGGCTCAACAGGTCAAACACATCAGGAATGGGCATGATGTGAAACATCTAATCTCTCCACCCACCCTCCCAAGTCGTGAACGATTGAGCAAGGCTAGGGTGATGCGGAGACGGCCCTCACAGCGCTGACAATGTGATCGTTCCGAGTCCCTAAGGAGCCCAGGGAGGTTGCAGGGACCATGTGTCTCCGTCTTGACCCCCAGAGGAGTTGCTTCTCTGAGCTTCCACACATTCCCTAGAGATCAGAATGGCTGAGGACAGCATGTCCATGTCATAAATGGCCATCTCAGAGCAGAGGCCCTTGATCATAATACCAAAAATATCAGAGAAATTGGCCCACAGCATCATGCAGAAATCTGTCTTCAGGCATCCTTGTCTGGCCTCGCCAGAAACAGTAAAACCACATCCACGTCAGTGATAAAAAGGCTCGTAGTCAGGATTCAGAGGCACAAAAAATATAGTACAGGTCTATTTTTGGAATAATCCCCTGTAGGGGAAAGAAAATCTAAACAGCAGCAACAACAGTACAGTGTTGTCAGCTTCACATAACGGCATACAACAGAAGAGCTTGAGTCCTTGGAGACTCCGAGACTCCTGGGTTATTTCAGTCCCACAGCCTCTCAGGGCACCAGATTCACAGCCCTGGAACATTCAGGAAAAGGAATTCTGATTAGGACGCAGCCCCAACAGAGAGTCGGCGCACAGACTGGCCGGGCTGCCCCGGATCCACAGTGACATCTCTATGGTGGCACTCTCCAGAGAGGGCCAACCGCAAACCCTACCCCACAAGTGAGGACACAGTGTGCTTCCTGGGTCCCTAATGCCCCCTGCCCAGGGCTCCCCGTCTGGCATGGCTGCTCAGAGATGAGACCCACTGACCCATTCTCTCTAGAGGTTCAGAGATCCCTGAGAACAGAGTCCAAGGTTCTGCTCTGTGACCCTACTACGTGGAGACTCAGTTCCTCGTTCATAACATGGAAAGAGTAGAAGCTATACTTTCTCCCTCCCTAAGATCGTGTGAGGATCAAACAAAACATTGCCACATTCAAGTGCTTCCCAATCTGCAAGCTCTTGTTCTATGTGACCACATTCTATAAAACTGTAGAGGTGTACGGTGAGAAGTTTGTGTCTGACATGAGGATTGAGACTGCCTCTGTTGCAAACTTTTAGGGTACCACCTAGATCCATCCTAGCTGTGAACCTAGTTTTTTGCAGAGCCCTCTGCCAACTCCTTTGCTTCATATACTAAAGACACATATAGCACTTTTTATTGTGTTTTTGTAACTGCTTCCTTCCTCTTATAATTCCTTAAAAAGTACTGGAATTCTAGAACGCATGGGGAAGCTTTGGGGTCACACAGTCATCCTCCCTTCATTTTGCCAATGGAGGCACAGAAGGCCGGGCACTTGTCCAAGGCCACCTGTCCTCGGCTCCTGCCACAGCCTGGTGGTGACTGCTCTCCAGTGGGTCTTGGAGAGCCACAGTTCAAATTCTGCTCTTGTGGAGCTGGGGCATCCACCTTCTGCCCAGGACATCAGAGCTCCAGGTTCTCAGAACTTCGGATTTCAGGGCTTACACCAGTAGTCCCCCACCCCCAGTTCTCAGGCTTTTGGCCTTGGACAGAATTACACCACGGGCTTTCCTGGGTCAGCTTGCCGACAGCATACTGTGAGACTTCTCAGCCTCCATCATTGTGTGAGCCAATTCCCATCACAAATCCCTTCATAGAGGGATAGATACATAGATACACAGCATACTGGTGCCTTTTTCTAGAGAACCATGACTAATACAGATTTTGGTGCCTCCCTCCCTCCGTAAGTACCAGTGAGTAACTGTTACTTAAGCTAGGTGTGTCCTTTAGGATGTGTGGGTGGGGAACAGGAGGATGGCAGACGGCTAAGGGCACTCAGGGACAGGCACCTCTAGTGATCATGATGCCTCATCTTAATAGATTACATCTTTGGAATTTGCCTTTTATTTTTGGAAAATAAATATATAATCATTTCATTTTTGTAGTTACTCATCATGAGTTGCATCTCCCAGAAATGATAGATTATATCCATGCAAAGCATCGATGCACCTAACATAAGTTGTTGTGGAGTTGTTTTAGAAGAATGTGTTAAGAAGGTAACTATGATTTATTGAGTGACAGTTCTTCTACCATCTGCTCAGCTTCTTCTCTGCAGATGATCTTGTATCTATCTAGTAAAACAATTGACAATATTTTATGTTAAATCCTTGTCCCCTTCCCCTTCACCTACCTACCCATATGAAGCCAAGGGTCTTCTCGTTCCCTAACACACATACCACTCACCCTTATGAGGAAGGGTCTTTCATCCTACCTGCGACTAGAACTCTACCTGTGTGCTAGGTGTAGGCTGACCAACCATCCTGGTTTGCTCAGGACTGTGTGACTACTCGGACACAGGACTTTTATTGCTAAAATTAGGAACATCTCAAGCAGATCAAGACAAGTTGGTCACCCCAGTAGACCCCACGTTCTCTCTGAGGGACCTTTCCAAACAAATCATGACTAAATGAATTGAGGATACCAAATAATACCAAATTGATACGTGAGATTGGAGATCAGGAAGAACACTGGAAGGAAAGAATGAATAAAATGTAGTGATTTTATTTTAATGAAAAGATCCATGAATAAGTGGGAAAACCAAGAGGAGGATATCCTACTATCCAGGTGAGCAGAAGAACAGAAAATTTGCATTAAAGAATTCATATGAAGATATAAATCCCATTCATCAAAAAGAAACAGGCTTGATGGTAAGTCAGGAATGATCCTTAATATATATGATCACTAGTGCTTCCCATGTTTTACTTTCATGTCACACATTTTTTATAAAAATTATATTATCCGCAACGTGGGTTAAACTGGAGGGAGAAGCTATGTGTGACCACAGGTGACCACCTGCGGAACCTCGTGACCACAGAAACCATCCAGCCCCACAAAGGACTGAGAAAGTCACTATCTGAGCTCACATGTGACCCACAGACCACACACCACTGTGTGGCTGGTCGGGAACCTTTGAACTACATGATGACATAAACATGCAGGTCTAGACTCTCCTCCGTCACAAATCTGACATCTTGATTCACATTCTCCCTAGGTTTCTGGTGAAACAAGGAAAGCCTAGGAGGTCAAACACTCTCTGATGACCCAATATTGCAAAGCTTCCTCAAACGACATTTCCTGCAGTGGGGTTGGTGTGGGTTCCTATTTATATTTCCCCTTCCTTGGTCCAAATTTATCCCATGTGTGTATAGAGTTGCAGCTTGAGCAACGACTTAATGATGCAATGATGCAATGACGCTGGGTGAGAAGGAAGTATCCCTGCCTCTCACACATCACTGTATGCATGAACTTAACCTCTCAGATGCTTGATTTCTCATCTTTAAAGACCGTGTTACACCAATAGTATTTATTTTTGTGTACCAAAAACGTTTGCAACAGTGGTTAGCCCATAATAATCATTTGATAAATGTTCATGGCTATCCCCAGCCCCCTTACACAGGGAATTTTGCTATTTTTCTTACCTTCATGGCCCCAACAACATAACTGTGAAGGACATCAGAAAATTCCACCCAAAAATATGGCTTCTTGTGTCAACCGAAGAAAAGCCAAAGTCTGTAAAATAATTTTAAAGAGATTTATTTTGAGCCAAATTTGAGGATCATGACCCGGAGCCACTGCCAAGAGGCCTTGAGCAAGTGGGCTCGCTGTGGTTGGGTTACAGTTTAGTTTTATATATTTTCAGAGAGACAGGGGTTACAGGCAAAGTCACAAATCAATACATGAGAGGCATACATTGGTTTGGCCCAAAAAGGTGGGACATCTCCAAGCAGGGGCTTACAGGTTATAGGTGGGTTTAAAGATTCTCTGGCTGGCAATTGACTGAGAGAGTTAGACTTTATCTAGAAGACCAGAAAGGATATGCTTATTTTAAGATAAGGGTATGAGCATTCTGGGAAGTCCAGACAGCAGGACGTTTTAAATTTTAAATTTACAATAGGCGCCTGCTAGGATTCTTTAAGATATTTTAAATTTATGATAGGCATCTGCTAGGATGCTTGAGTTAAGACAGGGGCTTCTTATCTTTTAGGTGATGTTAATACTATACCAGAATCAGGTTGGCGATTAGTAGGAATTTACCATTAGTCAGCCTGACCCAGCTGGCCTCCTTAGGAAGGAGTTTTTAGCAAAAGAAAAAGATCAGAGTTTAGTCATCACTTGGAATAAAGTGTATTTGAATTAAAGGCCTTTAGAGACCCCCAGGCCTTGGAAGGGACATTCCCTCTTTCTTCATAAAAAACTAGACCCATCAAAAGAAGAATCAAGTTCCCTTCCCTTTCCTTCCCTGTTATCTCAATATATTACAGGAAGAGTGCAGCTGGACCTGGCCCAATCATTTTAAATGTAATACCTTTCTCTCAGGTTAATTTAAATTCCAAAGAGAATAATTTACAAATCAATCTGTTTCCTCCCAGGCTTTCATCCTCCCAAGTATCTATTCTTCCTCCCTAGTAACCATTTATTGCCCTCCAACAGAATTATCTGTATTCCTCATCTCTCTCCCTCCCCACCTCTAAAATGAGGGTATATGAATTTCTGGACCCTATTGGGATATCAGGTAATCACTCTGTGATATCCCTGTGCGCACAGTAAATAAACTTCTACCTCTTATTAATCTGCCTTATTGTGAGTTGATCTTTCTGCAAACCTTCTGGGGCGACAGGGAAGTTTCCCTTCACCTCCACCTCTGCTAGTCTAGATAGTTCAACTAAATGAGTTTGGCAACTGTGATACCACAGGTCACTAAGTTATAAGTCTACATCCTTTCCTGGGTGGATTGGACCCCATCCCTAGCATGACATATGTCCCTTCTGCCTCTCTGAGCTCCTCTCTCGGCTTGCTGGAGCCCCTAATAAAACCCAAGAGCTGGGCAAAGGGCACACGGCCAACCCGAGCCTAAGATTTTCTAATTAGAGGTTTCTGGAAAGGAGAAACATGGTCCTCTAGTCGCTTAACGATGTCTCATCCACTTTTTAACCTGAGTCCTTCTGCCCCACTTTGCCAGCCTGGTCCTCCCACAGGTATAAGGAGAAGAGCTTTTGCATACTTCAGTTAGCAAATCAATCAGCAAGAAGACAGGAATCCTTGGGAACACGAGGGGTATGTTCCTCACAGAAAGTTGTTTCTAATAAACCCATGTCTGCTGCTAAGCAACCTTGACGATGCCTCTTCCACAATTGCAGCTGAATAGAACCCTCGATTGTGTGCAGGGGATTAAGTGGATGTTCTCATGAGTCAGAAGAAGGCACCAGAGAAAGTTTTACTCAGGCTCAGGATGAGTGTAGAATACTGCAAAAAGGAGCAGAAAGGGAGGCATGCCCAGGATGGGTTGTGTGATGCATGTAGCTGCTATTTCACTCACGCTGCGGGGTTTGGCGCTCGTTTGGGGAACAAGCCGTGAAGAGCTGAGTTGTTCATTCATAGCCGAGCGGATGGAGTCACGGCGTGGGGGACCGCCTCCCTGTTTTTCTCGAGAAGACTAATAATTACGGCCGTGGTTAGATCTTACACCAGACTCGGGGAGGAACGGTGGAACTCCCTGGAAGCAGGGTAGAGCTTTCGAGGCAGATTAGATGTTGCAACTGTCAAATCCCACAGCGTAGTCATTATGGTAAGGAGATGAGGTGAACCGAGAGCCAGCCAATCAGAACGGCCGGAGAGTGGTACCATTTCTGATGGCTCTTGTCTCCTGGCTGTGTTTGGAGAGGTGTGGCAGGGGCGAGGCCAGCCCTGCAATTGCTTTCCCGAAGTTTAACACGCTGGGAGGCTGTGTCTCCCGTCACTGAAAGCATGGAAAATCCTCTGGTGCAATTGCCTAAGCCTCTAAATATATATTTCCCCTAATAACTAAATGTGGCTATTTCAACAAAGCCAATCAGTTAACTTAAAGAGCAACATCTGGAGGTGGGAACGTTCGGAGGGAGGGAGCAGAATCTCCCAGAAGATTCAATGTCTTTTTCTGTAACATTTCCATGGCCATTCTTTCATACTTAAAAGAAGCTAATTTAAAATGTTAGCCTATATTTAAATTAAACTATCCAGTTGCTGAAGATAACACTGTAAGAAGTATGAAGGGCTGTTGCTGTGACAATCTGGGGGCCATTTTTGACCGTTTGCTCTCCTGTCCTTGCTCCTGATCTCTAAAAACATCACCAAGGCCTGAGGCTTCTCGGGCCAGATGTCCCTGTGTCTCTTCCCACTGCTGTGTCTCGCCCTGAGCCTCTGCTTCCTCACAGGTAGACTGTGGAGAAGTCTCTCAGGTAAAAGTGAGGAAAATCGAGAAGCTTAAAAAAATAAGATATATTACCTGCCTCCCCTGACCCACACATCCTCCCTCCTGCTGGAGAAAAAAAAAAAACACCCTAACCCATGACACGCACTGGTCATATAATTCTGTGCTGTTGTCCCGAATCGGGCAGGGAACCATTCGACTCCACTTTGCTTCAGGGTTTCCCTCCATAAAGGCAAAGCCTGTGCCTTGCTCCCGACGCATCACCCAGGACTGTGCTGGGGAGATTTATAAACAAAGGTCTCTGGAGCGCTTCTGGTGGGAGGGGAGAAGTCTGGTCACTGTGCGTGTCCACGGTGAGGAAAGATCATTTCAAACGGGCAAGCCAACACCAGACTCCTGGGGAGGAAACTGTGTGTGGTGAGGATCAGCAGGAGAAAGGTGCAGGGAGCAGCATGGAAGTTTCTAGAAGCATGGCTATGAGAAGGCCGGTGGACACGTGCCAGGATCCAGCAGCCAGCGAGCCCAGTCAGGATGCTGAGCACATGACCCAAGAGAGTCAGAAATCCAAAAGATCTTTCCCACACACTCCCTGCTTTGGAAATGTTCTGTATCTTGAACACTATCTTGGTTACATGGCTATATACAGTTTTCCATATTCATCAGCTAAGAATAATATGGTGTATATGAATTTTATCTCAATTTAAATGTCTATTTTTCTATCTAATCCCATTCTAATCAATGAATTCCCTGCTGTGCCCATGAGCAGCTATACTCCCAATCACCAATTTTTATAACAGTCTTCATATTTGTATTCAATGAGATTAATGTATGCAAATATGGATACTCATGTACATCATAAGCACAGGAACAGTCAAGTTAAAACTGGCTTTATCTGTCATTCTCTAGTAACTGTTATCTCTGCACATTTATAATGCAGAATCACTCAAATGCCAAATGACTTTGGAATTACTAAAAATAAAATTAAACCTTGTGCGTCAGACTTTTAGCGTTAAATGTATTTCACTATTTTCAAATTCATTAGCAATTGGTAAAGCATGTATGGGAATGTGACAACTCTATTTATAAGAATATTGGTTTGCTCTGAAGATCTTGTACTCTTATTAAGCCTAATAATAGAGATTATGAAATATATGATTTAGACGTTGGGCAGAAATAGGTAACAACAGTTATTACTGAATTCACGAATTGCCTGTTGTTTCGTTTACAATTCTAACATAAAAGATGAACATTTCTTTACCCAGCCTTACTGAGGACAATCAGTGTCTGGTAGCAGCCTAAAGCTGTGTCCTTAGTAAAGAAATATTACACTTGTGATTTATAGATTCTTTTGAAATTCAAGTTTGTGTATTCTCTTCCTAATAGGGACTTCAAATAAACAAAGAAATAACACATTGGATAATGGGCAGTAAATATAATCCAATTAATTCATTTGTTGAATGCTTGTGTCAATATTAGCTCAGGCTTGATCTGTAAAGATAATCAGCTGTAATCACCACCCCGTCTTCCTCATCATCATGTAGGCTTGGGTAATGTGAGTGTGAGATGTGCAGGCAGGAATAGTTCCACTGGGGACTGCTCTAGGGAACAGGTTGAGTCCCCAGCAGCAGCAACAAAGATCTAAGCCGACTGCAGGAAGAACCCTGGAGAGGGAAGGAGACTTCTCTCACCACCCTTATCAGGGAAACGGGACAGCTGTTGCATTCCCACGTCCACCCGTCATGGAGAGTGAGCTGCCCTGGAAAAGGGAGCCATCAGCAGCAGAGAAAACCCTAGGCATAGAGTCACAAGGCCAGCGTCCCTTCCCACTGACCAGCTGTGCAGCCTCCACCAAGACACACAGCTCTGAGTCTCTTCTTAACCTGGAGAGAGTAGACATGTCCCTCTAGCATTCAGGGACTCCCTAAGGCACCAGAAAGAGGGAAGGAAGGAAGGCTTGGCCAGGGCTAGAGGACTAACTCTTCTGCAGATCTGCTTTCTGGGGCTGGTGTGTCCAATCCTCAAATTGGAGGTGTCCACGGGAGGCAATGAACTTTAGCACCACCCAGCCCAGCGTCAATATCCTAGGAGCATTTGGGCAGTGGTGGGGCCTACAGTCACGTGGGTGGCAGGGCTGTGGTTCTGGGTTGTCCATCCACCTGTAGTCAAGACTCCAGGCAGTGGTCAGGGGACCACTGGGAAATTCAGCAAGAGCAGGAAGATTTTAAGGGTCCTGCTGACAGCACCAACAGGGAGGGCTCCAGTTGGGCTGACGAGCCTTCGACGTGGCTGATGAGGTGGGGACGAGCCTGCCCTGCAGATGTGCTCTCCTGTCTCGTCCACGGCTTCTCTCACCTTCTGCCCTGCCCCTCCCATCCTGAGCTCTTTTCTCCTCCCTAACACATGCTGGCCGGTGCCTTCCCAACTTCTGTGTTCTGCCCGGACACCGTCCTCCCTGGCACCCTCCCCTTACTCCTACTCAGCCCTGGGGTGTCCACCAGAACCCAGCCAGGAAGCCTCCCTTGCCCTCCCAAGACTGGGTTAGGTGACCCTCCTGTGTTCTCCCAGACCAGCATGTGTTGGAAGGATGATACAATGACTGGCACATAATACACACCCTGCAAACAGTGGCAGTGTTAGTATCACTGCGTTCCTCCAGGATGGCACCGATCATTCCGAATTGGACACCGTGCTTGCTCTGTCTGGGCCTAAGCCTTTGCTGTCTCTCCAGCTTCTGGTATATTGCACAGCATACAATAGGTGCCTGATAAATGTTTGTTCAAATAATAAAATCCTCAGTTACACGACTGGGTAAATATGGACACGACAGCATGGGGGAGGGGCAGGAGGTGGCCAGGGCTCCCCTGCAGTATTTTAGAGACTGGCCCACGTAACCGTCACCAGCCTCTGACCAGGGCTGGGGCTCAGCCCCTGTCTGTGCTGGCCGTTGTGCTCAGGATCTGTAGGCAGCAGGGAGGGACAACCGGCTGGCCAGAGACCATAAGAGCCTGCAGCCAGGGGGGACCAGGGGACACAGGGAGGATGGGAAGGAATGCTGCTCACAGTGTGATTCCACCACTGTTTATTGAAGAGGCAGTGCAGTTTATGGAACAAACATGGGATTTGGGGTCCATGCACCTACCTTCAAATCCCTATTCTTTAACCTAAAGCTATGGGGTGGAGGTTAAGGGCAAAATCTTTGGGGTAAAACTTTCTGGATTCGAATCCCAGATTCTCCACTTCCTGGCTGTGTGACATTAGACTCTGTGCCTCAGTTTTCTCATCTGTAAAATGGAGATAATAATCATAATTCCTGTTTCACCTGGCTATTATGAGGATTAATGAGTTAAATTGTAAAATTCTTAGCATAGGGCTTGGCAAGTGCTAACTACTGTAGGGGGGTTTACCTGATCATTCTGATTCTCAGTTTCTCGTCAGAAAAAGCAGGTGTACGCCAGGCACGTGGCACAGTGTCTCACACATGGAGCTTTTCATTATTATTATTTTTATTACTATCACTTCTCTCGTAAATGGAAGATACTTTCTTAGGGTGTAAACGTAATTGATTAACAGAAACCTTTCTGTGGATAATTCTGTTCTCTGCTGATGATTGTGGGAGAAAAGGAGCAATTTCTTAAGGTCCTGGGCCCCCCACTTACCTTGTCCCTTGCCTCCTCTCCATAATGCACTGACAATCTTCTTCCTGGCCCAAACGCTCCAGTGCGTACCCATCTCTCTCTGGCAGATGAGCAAAGAAGGGCACGTTCATTTCCTAGGGCTGCCATGACAAAGCACCGCAAACGGGTGGTTAGAACAACGGAAATGCATTCTCTCGCAGTTCTGGGGTCAGAAGTCGGAAATGGAGGTGTCAGCGGACACCTGCTCCCGCTTAGGGCTCTGAGGGAGAAGCTTCCTTGCCCCTCCCCTCGTCGGCTGGCTCCAGGCATCCCCTGGCTGTTAGAGGCAAAACTCCAACCTATGATTCTTGTCTTCATGTGGCCTTCTCCCTCTGGGTGTCTCTCTCCAAAATCTTCCTGTCTTTTCCTTGTAAGCATACTTGTCATTGGATTTGGGGTTCACCCTAAATTCTGGATCATCTCATTTTGGGATCTTTAACTTAGTTACATCTACAAAGACACTTTTCCTAAATAGGTTCACAGTCACAGGGACCAGGGGTTAGAACAAGGCCACATTCTTCTGGGCCAACTATTCAACACACCATAAGGGGTAACAGGACCCTCACTGGGTCTAAATAGAATGCACCCCTTCTCCTTGATTAGACCCAT